TATATATATATATATATATACTAGTTGTCCTTATCCAACGTTGCCAGGGTATTACCTAAACAGAGGGCCGATGTTTACCCTTTCGTGTGGAGCCTCACTTTGTCACATTTGTTGCATATGTTTTGCTGCTTGTGATTGCCAATCAGAATTGTTTTTCTATCTTCTTGACATTTTATCATACCTAACTCCCCTCCCAAAATAAAATGAATAAAAACCAATTTATTTTTTTCAGAATTACATGGGTTCAACTTGTCTATTCTATAAAAAAAAAGGTAGTCATGTTTGTCAGTAGACATGACATTGTTTGATGGATGTTTATTCTTACACCACAATGGAACACCTCTCTATAAAATACACAAATTTTTCTGACATCATTTCCACTTAAATCGAACCAAAATTCCAGTACATCTTCTGTGGGAAAAAATTAGATTACAAAGTTTTCATTGACACTAAAAATGTGATGTGAGACATTAAACCTTTATACACTGATTCCATATCTTTATAGGCCTAATATTATAGGGGCTGAAATGTATGAACAAACAGACACAAACTTAGCTGTATATATTAGATGTGAAGGACAATAAAGCATTATCTTCAATGTCATTAGACTGAATGTCTTCAAAATCAGCTGATGACAGTGTCAGGACTGTTGTTAATTTTAGCTCTTAAAAAAAAATTATTGAAGGTGAAAGATATTTTTTCTTATTATTTAAAAAAAAATTCTTATTTAGATTCTATATTATATGTAATTTTCTGTTACTACTGACAGCAATATTGATTGAGTTTCTTGATGTGATATAAATTTATGCTTTGCTATATTTGGCACAGCTAGTGACATGCTCTGGTGCATATAAAGAAGGATCTCTACGTATTATCAGAAATGGAATAGGAATTCATGAACATGCTAGTATTGATCTGCCAGGTATTAAAGGAATTTGGCCTTTGAAAGTAGATACAGCCACGCAGTATGACAATGTTTTGGTTCTCTCTTTTGTAGGACAGACAAGGTAAGCTGTTATACTAACATTAGTATTTTAAATATTTTTATTTTATTTTTTGCAAGTACATACTAAAGAGAAAATGAATCAATTGTCCTTTTTATAACAAGAGTTCGTATTACAACCCTAGTCAATAGTTATACTTTCACTGGGGCAGTATTTTCCATATGTTATTAATTTTCTCATAACAGGTCTAGGAAGGCCTGTTTTAGCTCTAGGTGCTTGTCCTAGATTTTGATGTGTTGAAAAATGGTCTTCATCATATATGAACCAGTATGATGTTTCTAAACTTACAAATTGAACTTGTAACACAGACTAACCTGAATGAGAGAAGAGAAATATAATGTAAGGAAGAAATGCACAAGCAACACAATATGTATAATGTTGTAAAGCATGACTGTCTGGAAACAGTAGAGTTGGTTGATTTACAATAAATGTATCCCTATTATGAGATTTTCACTGAGAAAAAGCAAGAAAAAACAGTTTGAGGTAAAAAAAATCCAAATGTAGGCCTAAATCATAGTCTTCTTTATGGTGGTGATTAAAAAAAAAAAGAGCAAATTTACTTTTGGTTTTGAGTTGTGCTTGTGCATTCTTGGTTAAGATGAAATTAAAATCTTGTTTTTGTGCTAAGTGGTAAGTTATAAGAATCCCACATGATTCTAGTGAGATGGTGTGTCTGAGTAAGGACACATTTTGATTGATTTATTATTTCTAGGATATTGATGCTGAATGGAGAAGAAGTGGAAGAAACTGAACTTCCAGGTTTTGATACTAGTCAACAGACATTTGTATGTGGAAATGTTAAAGGACAACAAATCATACAGGTTTGTTGAGAAATCTCAAAATTGTTTAAAGAAATATAATTTTTACATCACAACAGTTACCAGCAGGGTGTGACATTGATTAACAGATCATGCTCTGAGAGTACTTTTTTTCTTTCTACCAAGCTACTACTATCAGCTATACAATTTTAAAACAGTAGCATATGATTAAGATATTTTGTTCATGCTTCGTTTCTGATATTTGAGTAAGATATATATACTGTTCATGCATTGTTTATTATGTTTTTATTAACAAGTTATGAAAATAGTGTTGTGTTCATATATTAGAAAGAATATATATATCAAATTCTTTTGACTAATGTTGTTTGCATTTTGTATATAACTTCTGTACTTTAAGAATTAATATCCTCTTTAATATGCATTTTACTGTGAAATAGAAATATTTATAACAAACATATTTTAATATTAAGATTTTAAATATTTTTTTATGCAGCTCTGTTGCTGATTAAGTGTAAAGATTTAATAAAAATTGAGGGCTGATAGAACAGCTATTTACCTTCACTGGTCTGTAGCTCAGGGTACTTACCATCACTAATCTGTAGCTCATGGTAGCATAGTTTTGTAAGTATCTACTTATCAGTAGAATCTAAGATTTATCCATTGTAGTTTGAAAATTATTTCACTAAGTTTAATAATGAAAAATAAAGTATTAGTTAAGAAAGACAATATTTTTCTTTCTTTTCAATGAAATTTATACACATTTTGGTGAAGAAGAGTCCACAGAGATTATATTTTGTTTTAAAAAAAAACGATATTTTGTTAGTGTAACCCATATACTTTTATTTATAGAGGCCTCTGGTGTTTTTCTGATTCGTCTTCATAAATGTTAATATTTTTGTTCATTATCCAACTGCAAGTGCAAATGCTTCATTGTGTAATACAGGTGACTGCAGCATCTGTTCGATTAGTAAGCAGCAAGACTAGAAAATTACTCAATGAATGGAGACCTCCAGCAGATAAGAATATCAGCGTTGTTGCATGTAATAACAGTCAGATTGTTTGTGCTGCAAGAGAAAATCTTTATTATTTAGAAATTTATGACGGAAAAGTGAAACAAGTTAGGTAGGTTAGTAAGTAGTGAATTGTTAATAATTTTGAACTTCAAAGATAGTTAAATATATCATTTTGTGTTAGACTGTCACATACAAAAGTGTAAATATTTTCTGAGTCTGTTTTACCAGTGTCTAGTAGAAATGCTTGATAACTAAATAGTGTTTATAAGGTACTTCAAAAATAAGTTCTCGAATCAGGAGCAGTTTTTTTTTATTCAGTCATTTCCACCAACTTTTAAAATGCTCAGTAAGTATATAAGCTTTTTTGGAAAATTAACATGCCAATTCTGAATGAGCTGAATATGGCCCAGTGGTTAGTATGCTAGACTGTAGAGTTGATATTCCATAGTTTATGTCCTGTTAGAGCCAAAAGAATTACTTATCCATGGATGCATTATAAGAGTGAAGGCCAATTCTTTCTATTTCATTTGTCAAGAGTTGACTTTGGGTGTTATTGATTAGCTGACTTCCCTTTAGACTATCACTTAAATTAGGAATGGCAAGTGCAAATAACCCTCATGTAGCTTAGCACGGAATTCAACAAATATATCCACTCTAAACATTGCTTTTAATTACAAGCTAAATTATAAACTGTACAAAGGTCTGAGTTTTGATATACATCCTTCCTATGTTATTTTCATAAAATCCTGATGTTTCAGAAGTATCAAATCTCATTAAAGTAAGTAATCAGAACTTATTAAAAATTATTAATTTATTTCAATACTTTATTGGATACAACTGTCAACGTAACTACAAGTTGAAGGTGCAACAAAATTTTACAGTTCTAATTCACAATTCCTAATGTAAAATACTCACAATGTTAAATGACATTTTAAAAGATGTTTTTAGCTGCACACTTTTATCATGTTCTGAACTATGTGCTCCCTTTTCCAAAGCTACTGAATTTTTATCTGTTGGTTTTTTAAATATGTTTAGCTGGTATAATATTTAATGCCATCTTTGGAATTTTTCCTTTTCTCTTTTAATGTCTGATTTGGACAAAAACTAATGTTTGCAACTCAAGGTTGAATAATAATAGATCTATGACTCAACTGCCTATGTAAAAAACCAGCACTTTACATGTCATAAGTTCATGAAAGCTTTCTATGTTAGTATTATGCTTCTTTTGATTACCATATTGTGATACACATGCTTGCTAGGGTCCTGTAAAAGTATTAGGTCACCAAGAAATTAATGTCATGTTTTGGAACACTTTCATTACCCACCCACCCCAAAAAAAAAACGTACACCACATAAATAGTTAAACGAATTGCCTAAACATCATGTTAGTGTAGCCTATATAATGTGTAAAGTTTAGTAAGTTCTAATCCCTTGTAGTGATGGCACATGACGAGACACACATTCGAAATGTAATGCTGTTTGAATACAAGAAGGGAAACAATGTCTCTATAGCCACAAAGAATATCAAAGAAGTTTATGGAAATGTTTTGAATGTTCATAATTGTCACCGATGGTTAAGCAAATTTCGTTCAGGTGACTTTAGCCTTAGAAACTGTGATGGCAGGAGCCAACATGTTGGAATTCATATTGATGCTCTCAAGACGCTTGTTGAGTCTAACCCAAGGCAACAAACTCGTGAAATGGCCCTGAAATTGCATGTCTCTCATGAAACAATATGTAAATATCTAAGGAATATGGGAAACTCCATAAAAAAGGTGTTTGGGTGCCTCACGAACTCTCTAATGATCATTGTTTCCAACGTTGCTTCGTCTCTTCTGGCGCATAATGCACATAAACCATTTTTGGACAGAATTGTCACCGGTGATGAAAAATGGACTCTCTTTGCGAATATTAAATGCCAAAATAATGGCTCAGTCCTAGACAAAAACCACTTTCGACCTCAAAACCTGGACTCCATCCGCAGAAAGTGATGCTTTGCATTTGGTGGGATGTCAAAGGAGTAATTCATTTCGAACTCCTCAATCCACAATGAACTGTCAATGCAGAGATCTATAGTCAGCAACTGGAACGTTTAAATCAAGCCCTTCATCAGAAACGCCCTTCACTCATCAATCGGAAAGGTCTTCTTCTCCACGACAATGCACGTCCACATATGCCATGTTTGACGCAACACAAGGTTATGGGGTTTGGTTGGGAAGTTCTCCCCAACCCACCATATTCTCCAGATTTGACACCATCAGATTACCATCTCTTTCGTTCACTGCAACAACATCTTAATAGGAAAACGTATGTAAATATGGAAGGTGTTAAAAAGGACATTGACATGTTTTTTGCTTCAAAGCCAAGTGATTTCTTTAATCAGGGCATTAACAAAATTAACAACCTGATTGTAAGATGGAATTGATAAGAATGGATACTATTTTATTTAATAAATGTTTTGTTTGGATATATAAGTTGTTCAGGTTTTTTCATCCAAAAAAAAGTGATATTAATGTCTTGACGACCTAATATGTCTATTGATCAATGAAAATTGTATTAAAAAATGTGTATTAATATAGTTAAAATTTTTTACAGTGATACAGTATTAAAAGCTTTTTATGAAAATATTTTTAACTTTGTTATCTCCTACTAGAGAATGATTTTTATAGGACCACTAAATAAATTGTTAATTATGAAGTGTTTGTAAAGAAATGGGACTTTAGAACAAGTTTTTCATCTTTTTATGGCACCACAACTTATGATTAGAAACATGTATCTAAAATGAGAATTAATCATAATTTAGAATAGTTCATTTCCAAACTTTTTACTTCTGTACAGCCTTGTCTTTGGTATGCACTTCTTTTCCTTTCAAAGTTATATTTCACCATTCCAATCTGTAACTCCCTTGTTCAAGTTCCAAAGAACTAGTTGTGTACCTTTGTGTAGTGAGAAGTTGAAACAGATCAGTCACAGTCCTAACTGCATGCTCAACTCACGATATGAGAGTTGCAGGTTCAAATCCCCATCACTGAACATGTTCGTCCTTTATGGTTGCTAGTTGGGTCATATTGGGAAAACGTCACAACCCTAACTGATAATGTTTTATATTAATTGTTTCTGTATATTTAGTATTTATACAAAAACTCATACTGTATTTTTGTTTTCCTTAAAGCTCTACTGTAATGGAATATGAGGTAGCCTGTATTGATATAAACCCTCTGGAAGAAGGGAAAGATGAAACACATCTGTGTGCAGTAGGACAATGGACTGATATTTCTGTGAGGATACTACGTTTACCAGCCTTGGAAGAGATGCATAAAGAAATGTTAGGAGGAGGTAGACATTCGTTATGGTGTACTTTTAAAAGTCTTATTATGATTTGAATGTAATTGGCTATCTTATTTTGTGTCTTACTGATGATTAGTTTGTATTACTCGTGTCTCTGTATGAAAACATTGATTTATGATGATTTTTGATAATAAATGTCAGAGCTTTGTAGAATTTTGTTTTTTTCTTTTTCCAGAAATTATACCAAGGTCAATCTTGGCTACAACATTTGAAGGTATTCATTATTTGTTGTGTGCTTTGGGTGATGGTTCTCTTTTCTATTTCATATTGAAGTCAGACTCAGGAAACCTTACTGACAAGAAGAAAGTAAGTTATGTTTCACTGTAGTAATTGGTCAATATTTTATTGCAGAAAATTACAATATTTATAGAATGAAGCTGCTGACATTACTTTGAATAGTTGTTTTAAGTTAGATCTAGACAGTGAAGGAATATTTTGTATATCAGCAGGCTCAGTATAAAATACCAAGTTTGTATACACATTTGCACTCATTAAGTATTTATACTATAACTTTTAATACAGTATGTGTATCTTCACAAAATTTGGTAGACTTTTGGGAAACATTACAAGTTTTTTGTGCACAAAAAATCAGGTTTTTAATAAAATATTTTTACCAAAGCTTTGTCTGAATATATCAAGTCTTTTTGTTATTAGTTTTTTAAAGTAATTTTCATGTTAAGATTAAAAATACTTTTCTTCATCCCCAAAATCTCAAATTTCATTTGCATAATCTCTAAAACCTCCTAAATACATTTCAAATGTTTGTTTCAGTAAAACTTTATATTTTATCTGTCATTTTAACTCTATACAAAGTTAATCAATTTGATTGACTTTGTAACCAAAAAAAAAATTAAATAAATCTAAATTACCCTTTTTCTTTCTAGAATGACTCCAAATTGTAACATGAAACCACATTTGTTTAGCC